TGAATTCTGTTAATTTGTTTTGTTCTGTGGGCTTCCACGGACTTGATGTGCCCCAAAAGCGCGTACACGATAAAACCCCCAAACCGAGCCAAGTGACACAGGGCAGGTGGGCGGCCAAGGCTTCAGCTCCCTGGAGATGCTCCACGGCCTCTCCAGGTCACTACGGAGGGGAGCCGTGCCAGGGGGTGCTGCCTGCCCGGGCACAGGCGAAGCTACACACAGACGCCCGCCCTGTGTGAAGTGGGCTGGGGCTGGGAGGGCGTTTCCGAGGCGCTGCCCAGGGAAGCAGGCCCCTCACTCAGCAAACCTTACCTTCGGTCCCCCCGGGAGTGGCTGCCTGTGAGCAGGTCCCTGCAGGCTGGGTCTAGATGTCCAAGAGCTGGGAGAGCAGGGTGGGCTCCGTCGGGAGAGCAGCGACTTCCAGGCCCCTTTGTGATGCGGGCTCCCTGGAGGCAGGGACTCCTTCCAGTGCTGGGGAGTTCCATGGGGCTTTGCGGGGGGAGGGGCAGAGGGCAGGTGGGGGCAGGGCCCTGCTGAGGGGGTGCCCCTTCCCAGGGCTCCTCTCCTCCCTCACTTCTGTCTCTCGGCCCCTCAGTCAAAGGGGCCCCAGGGGCTGCTGGGAAGGAAGGCCAGACCCTCTGCGCACCTGTCCTGAGAGGCCGGGCGTGGGGTCTCTGCCCCGATCCCCTGGTGAGGGGTTTGCACAGGCCTCTCCCTGGTGTTTCTTCCCTTCGGTCTCTAATGAGGGTGGTGGGTTTGGGGTCTCAACAGGGTGTGAGGGATGGGTGGTCCCTGCTCATCCTGATGGCCCAGGCCTGGGCCCACCTGCTAACCTGCACCCCGTGGCCAGCGCGTCTCCGGGCTCAGCCCCTCTTTCTCCCTCCGCATGTGGGGCTGCTCTGTTCCTGGCTTCTCCCCATGCTGGGTGTGAGTGAGAGGCCTGGCGTCCTGGCCTTGGGCCTGTCAGCCCGGACAAGCTGGAAAGGGGGTCTATGGGCCAAGGAGCCTGCGGCCCCCCAGCCCTGGCCTGGTCCCTGGACCACGGTGGACCCATAGACACCTGGGGCAGTGGACACCCAGCGCCTGCACACACGTGCACGGACTGTGCCCACTGCGGGAGCCCAGCACACCCCGGGGGGTGGGCGTCAATCCTTGCTCCTAGATACGGCTGGGGGAAGTGGGGCTCTTGGTGGGGGCAGTGGGGTGTGGAGCTCTGAGGCCCAGCCTCAGTGCAGGGGTCCGGGAGGCACCTGTGAGAGCAGGGGGGAGGGCTCCCCTTCCCACACTGGACCTGGGACTGGGTGTGTCTGGGGAGAGTTGGCCTCCTTCGTCCATGCTGCTACGGGTGCTGCCCCTGGACGTGACCGCTGGGTCCGCCCCTTCCTGCCCTGTGCCTTGGGCCGGGCTGTCTAGTGGCAGGTGTTCTGCTGCAGCCCAGCACCGCCAGGCAGGTGTGTCCTCTGGGCCTCCGTGGGCAGGAACAAGACCTCTCCCTGGGGATGTCCAGGCACGCTCTGGCGGGCGTCAGGAGCCCACCTGGACAAGACAAACCGGTGGGAAGAGGTGGGCAATGTTTCCGAGGCCCGCGGTGTGCTAGGAGAGCTGGCCCGCGGGATCAGGTCCCGGGTGTCCTGGACGGAAGGGGAGGGGCCAGGCGGTCTCATTGCTCAGGTCTCCGCCATTGAGCCACCAGCCCAGCTCTGAGAGCTGGAGCCTCAGTCCCTCACCTACAAAAAGGGGTTTGGGAGATTTGTCACGTTGTCAAACGAGAGAGAGAACAGGTGCACAGATCAGGCACACAGGTGTGGTCAGGATTTACCTGGGAGAAGGTGGGGGAACCTGTGGAGCTCGGTCGCCTGGGCCGAGGTGGGGGTGACAGGCGGCTGCTGTCACTGATGCCGCCAGTCTGTTTTGAGAGGCTGAGTCTTCCGTCTTTGACTTCGCAACTGCTTCTTCCATGATTCCCTAGAGTTCTTTTTATGTAATTAACTCTGTAACTAATTAACGGTTCTGCCTATTCAGTTCGTGCTGTTCGAATCACTAATGTGGTTTCTGTCCCTCAGTGGACTTTGACTGACACGTACACTGTAGTAGGAGCCGTCCCAGAGACGCCCTCAAAGGTGGGGCTTGGGGGCCGGTTTGGTTGTGTCCAGGGCCAGCTCCTGGCCCGTGGCGGGGAGGCTGGTGGTCCACGGTGTGCGGGGGCTTCTCGAGTAACCAGGCTCTCCCTGGGTCGGCTGCGAGGCACCGACGGAACCGAGGGCTGTGGCTGCAGGAAGGATGGCCCAGAGGCTGGTGGGATCCCCCGGGCATCCCACGGCACCGACTGGAAGGGGCGGCACGTTCAGGTCGTTAACCCTCTGCTCAAGTCACAGCCAGAGAGCCAGAGAGCTGCCACGGCAACGCCGAGGGAGCCCGGGTTTCCTGGAGCCCCGGCGCTGGTGTTGCTAGCAGTCAAGCGCGGTTGACTCTGCGGTTGTGCGAGGACCGTGCAGGCTGCACTCGCAGCCCTGAGAGTTTCTTATGAGAAAGTCGGGGCGGCAAGTGGGAAGGAACTGGGTGCTGGAACGTGGAGTGGGGGTGCCTGGTTGGACTCGGCAGTTGAGAATTGTGAACCCCAAGTTCTCTGAGTCTTCCAGTGGACGTGGCTTGTCCTCCAGTCGCAGGAGACTGGCCTTTCCTCTGCGTGAAAACCCTGTGATAGCCTCACCTGGGCCAGGTGCCTGGAAAGGGGGCTCATCCTGTTCAACCACCGCGACCACCCCTGTGGACTCTAGAACCTCAGCTTGCTCCTCGGGGCGGGGGGGCAGGTGTCGAATACAAAGTCTGACCCAGGAGGAAATACTCATACACCAAATACGTGCAGGATTTCACTAATCGCTCAGAAACCCGGAGCCTGGCTATTAGGCCAATTGGGCCGAGCTGTTTTCCTGGTATGGGTACACTTACTGCAGACTCTGAGTTTAAGGTGTCAGCTCTCAGCACCTTCTAGAAGGGACTCTCACAGTTTAGGTGGTGGAACGAAATCTGGACCGGACGGTGGTCAACGCTTGAGGTGTTGAGGTGTCCGAGTCCCCGTGTGAGGCAGGGGCACGGCTGGCAGGCGAAGGGCTGCCCTGGGGCACACTCTGCCTGGGACCCCTCAGCCTCCAGCTGAGCAGTGGTGGTGTGCACGTGTGTGTGTGTGTGTGTGTGTGTGTGTGTGTGCGCGCGCGCGCGCGCGCGCACAAGCGCCCAGGCTGGTGGCTGGATCTGCAAAGAGCAGGAGCTCCTGGAACCCCAACGCCAGAGCAGCCTGGAAATGTCCCTCCAGGGGGCGCTCCCAGGCCTCCTTGGGATCCCCCGCTGAGCAGGCAGAGGCTGCTGGTCCTGGATGTCTGCTCAGTCGGGGGCAACTCCCGTAGGGGGAGCCCAGGAAACTAAACCCCCCCGCTGTCCTCAGGGCCAGCAGCCTGCTGTCAGAGGTGGTGCCGGGGGAGAGGGGTGTTTGCCTGTCCGGTCCAGGCTGCCACAACCAGACGGCAGAGACTGGGTGGCGTGTAAGCAGCAGACATTTTTTCTCACGGTTCCGGAGGCCAGGAGGTCTGAGATCAAGGCGCGGGCAGATCTGGTGTCTGGTGGGGGCCTGCTCCGCACTGACGGCACCGCCTCAGTGTCCTCGCCTGGCGGAGGGGGCGGGGGGCTCTCTGGAGCCTCTTTAATCAGTGTGCTAACCTCATTCACGAGGGCTCCATCCCGGGATCGCACCTCCTAACACCATCGCCTTGGGGGTTAGAACTTCGACACATGAATTTGGGGGACACAAACGTTCAGACCGTGGCAAAGTGCCAGGCCAAGCGGGCTGACTGAGATACCTGCCAGGTGAGCCGTGGGGCCGCAGGTGCAGCCTCCGGGGAGGGGGAGCACCAGCGGGCTGGGAGGGGCAGGGCTGGCCGTCCGCACCCTCAGTGTCACGAGCTGCACCGTGGCCTTGCGTGGACAGATGGAGCAGGACACCCCAGGTTGGGGGGCCGCAAAGGCAGGGGGTGGGGAGGGCACCCCTGGGCGACACTGCCCCATGCAGCTCAGGCCTGGGCTCCTAGGCCAGCCCTCACCTAACGGCCGTGGTGCCTACACGTCCATCCAGGCCCAGTGCACTCCTGTCTGTCCCTGAACCGCCCACGCCTGGCGCCTGGGCTGTCAGCAGGTGTTGTTGAGGCCCTGGAGGGCGCAGAGGGACAGAGACAGCAGGCGGACGACGAAACGGTGGCCTGGTGAGGACTGTACTGGGAGAGCTTGCAAGAGCGGAAACTGCTCGAGCAGTCCCAGGGGAAGGCGAGGAAGAGAGGCGGGGCCGGAGCGCCCCCACCAGAGCCTGCTCCCGCTCCTGGGCTCCCCACCCCCTTGGTCCTCGCAGCGGGAGGCCCTGAGCCCAGCAGGTCCCAGGCGTCACCAGCCAAGACTCAAGTGGCAGGGTGGACTGAGGGCTCCCGCCCGTGTGGGGATGGAGGGAGTGGGTGGCCTGAGGAGGAAGGAGCCGCCAACCCCATCCAGGCCTTCGCCTGCTGCCTGGGGACAGGAGGGGCAGGAGCCTCCGGGCCACCTCCGTGCCTGAGTCATGGACGGGGTCTGTCAGAGGACCCCAAAAGGTGAGGTGAGACAGGGCTCTGTCTGTGGGTCCAAGACCATGGAAGGGAGGGGCAGAGAGGGGCACAAAGTAGGAGACAGAAACCAGGACAGGGGGCAGTGGCCGTTGCCCCAGGTGGGCTCAGGTCCGACTTCTGCGAGAGAGAACCCTCCAGCCCAGCCCACATCTGTGAAGCCCCCGGGTGAGAGCAGGGTGGGGCTCCTCTGTCCCAGCCAGGAGGGGGTCCCCAGGCACGGTGACGCGGGGAGAGAACAAGCTGTCCTCATGCTCCCTGGAAGCACAATTTACTCCCCTCATCAGCCACCCGCCACCTGGCGGTCCCTCAGCCTGGAAGGGAGGGGCCCGAGGAGGGGCAGGTGTCGCTCCAGGGCTGGGGGTGGTGGGGTTGGGCAGGGCTCTCTGTGCGGGACCTCCACGGAAGCATCTGGGAAGTCAGTGCGAGGCCCTCTGTGGGCTGGGCACCTGCTTGGAAGTGTCGTCTTTGGGGAAGGCCAGGCTCTGTCGGGGGCCAGCCCGAGGCTCAGGCCAGGCTGCCAGGCAAAGGGAGCTTCACCGCCAAGGAGGGGAATCCCGGTCCTGGGCTGGCACCCTCTCCCCCAGGGCCAAGAGGGGCTGGCCTTAATCCCATCCAACCTGCAGGATCCTGAGCCAGGGACAAGACCTGGGGCTGCTTCTCCAAGGTCTGAGCCCAGGTGTGGGCCAAGAGAACTCCAGCTTCGGGGATGAGCTTGCCCACGGCAGCCTCCTGGGACGGTCCCTCCACGCAAGCAGGAAGCTGTCCGCTTTAATTCCCAAGGCAGACAGGTGGGAGGCTGTGGCTGGGAAGGGTGGGAGGGCAGGGACCTCCCCGATTTGGGGAGACAGGTGCACCCCAGGGCCTCGATATTGGACAAAAATGACAAGGAGGCCTTGTGATCTGGCCCGGGAGAGGGCTGGGTCGCTGGTCAGTGCAGCCAGCAGCCGGAGGATGCCTCCCTCCGGATTCTGGCCTTCAGCCTCTTCAGGCCGCTGTGGTTGGGGTCCACCAGGAGGCCGCTCTCGGCTGCTGTCCAGGCCTCTGCGTAGCGCTGCTCTTCCAGGCAACACTGCCCACGGCCTAAGAACAGGTGTGCGGTGGCGGCCCGGCCCGGCTGCTCCCGCAGCATGCTCTGGGCCAAGGTGGGTGCCAGCTTCAGGGCCTGGGCAAAGGCCCCTGCAGCCCCCGCCTCATCCCCCAGCCTCAGCTGCAAGCGACCACGGAAGCAGAAGTCCTCTGCCCGCCTTGGGAGGCTGCTGTCCTCTGAACTCTCCCGGAGCACACCGTCCAGGTCCCCGAGTGCCCGGTCAAACTGCTGCAGCTTGGCCAGGCAGGTGGCCCGCAGACGCAGGTGACAGGCACAGCTGCCACCAGCCAGGACAGCCAAGGAGCAGTAGCCCAGTGCCTGCCTGGGTTGCCTCGCATCCAGGAGAGAGCTGGCTTCCTGGGTTGCAGCCTGCACAGAGACACAGAGGGACAGAGCATGGGGTCAGCCCAGGAAGCCTGCCGGCCCCACACCTGCCGAGCTCCTCTGCACAGCCGGCCTCTGCTGCTCCCCGGGAGGCCAGGGCCCCTGGGCTGCAGAGGAGCTGCCCACTTCTTCTGGAGGGGCTGGCCGTGGGCAAGAGCAGGTAGAGGACCCCCTCCCTGCAATTCCCACCACCCTGGAAGCTGCCAGGCCCAGTTCAGACCCTTGGGGGTCCAGCGTCCAGCTCAGGGCCTGGCATCCTCCTCGACTGGTACTCTCCTCAGGCCTCTGATGGGTCACTTGGATTTACCTTATCATGGTCCTCCCGTCTGGCAATCCTACTGCCCCTCCCGCTGGGCCCGCTTCCCTTGCCTGGGTGAACACAGTGGCCTCCTCCGGCCACTCCTCTGCAAAGTCACCTTCCAACAGGCCCTCTGATGGCACTGCCTGCCCTCGGAAGGCTGCCCTGGCCCTTAGGTCGGTAGCAAACACGCGTCTGCCCAGCCTGGTCTCTGGGCGCCCCCCTGGCCCCAAGATCATGAAGGGAGGCAGCTGGGCACCAAGGGCTTTCTTGCTACTGCCAGCCCCCTCCTGCTCCCACCACATCACCCCCAGGGGCTGGGGTCCACTGGTTCTCCTCCCTGGGACGGGCAGAGTGGGCACTTCCTGGGGCTGCTGTACTGAGGGCCCCGCTCCCAGACTGCCCGCCTCCCCTTGCCCCCCGGGAACTTCCTTTTCCGCGCCGCAGCTGAAGCCCCCACTCAGAACGTGCCGGGATGCCTGACCTCCTCTCTGCCGTGTTTCTTCAGAGAGAATTATGAGCAGAGATCGCCCAGACACTCCTCGGATAACCCGCTCCCCTCACATGGCTCCTCCTCTGCTCAGGCACCCGAATGGCTCTCCATTGCCCGAGGCACAACATGGGAGGCCCTGCCCTTCTCGCTGTCCCTCGCCCTCTCCTCCGGGCGGCCAGGATGTAGTCCGTGCTCCCCGCCCCGAGGAAAGCACGGAGCGACCCAGGACTCCGCAGCGCGCTGCTGCGGGGTGCGGATCCCACCGGCCGGGGAGCGGCACCCGCAGTGAGGCTGGAACCCCAGCGCCCTGCCTCGCTGTGTGACCCCGGCGGGGCGACTCAACCTCTCTGTGCTAGGCTGCCTGCCCGGGTGGTCGTGGAGCCTCGGCCCGGCGCCGGCAGATGCCATCGAGGCCGGCCCGGCACAGCTTGGCCGGGTCC